GTCTTTCAATTGATTAATGACATCTGTACATGCTCTAAATGCTTAAATAATTATCAATTACAAGGGAACTCGGAATGTATATACAATTCTGTTGGTGAGAGTCGATTGGAGGATGAAGCCATTGCTAATTGTCTGGAATATAGTAGCCCAGCTGAATTCTCAACTGTTTCAGAATGTACAAAATGTATTGCTGGTTGGGCTCTGGAACAAGCTTCCTCTACATCATCTTCAAAATGTCACCAATGCCAGCTTGGATGTGAAACATGTATAGTTGATGTATCTTCAACACCTACAACAGTTAACAGGTGTACTGTTTGCTCCAAAAGCTATGCACTTAATAATGCTGGAACATGTATAAAATGTCCATACAATTGTGATGAATGTAGAGTTGATCCAGAAAATCAAAATAATGCTCTTTGCCTCTCTTTTGGATGCACTTCAGGAGCTTTAAATGATGCAAATTTTAGTTGTCAATCCTGTTCTATTGCCAATTGTGCAATTTGTGTACAACAAATTAATGGTATGTTCAAATGTTTAAAATGCAATCAAGGTTATTATAAAGATGATGATGGAATATGTCAAGCATGTATGCAAAACTGTCCCTTTTGTTTTAATAATCAAAGTTGTATACCTGATGGTTGTAAAGAAGGTTTTATTAGGCATAGAACTGAGGGAACCTGTCTACCCTGCATTGGAGATGGAGTAGCAAGATGTTCATTTGACACAGCAACATTCAATATACTTATACCAGAAATGTGTAAAATTGGTTTCAGACTGGATACATCTACTAATCCACCTTCGTGTGAAAGTAAGTATTGTTTTAAAGATTACTTCTTTAAAAGTGTAAGTGTTTACATAATTACAGGATGTGATCCGAATTGCAAAATATGTAATGCTCATGGTATTGCTAAATGTGATGATGAACAATGTAACTTTGGTTATTTTTATGATCCAACTGATCAAAAATGTTATAAAGAGAAAACCAGATGTGACAAATCTATTAGGTTGGGTGATAAAACTGTGTGTATAAAGTGTAATTCTTCAATATTTACTTTATCAAATGGTGAATGTAGAACTTGTCCAATTGGATGTTCAAGTTGTTCATTTGATTCCACCAGAAATAGATTTTCTTGTCCTTCATGTAAAAACCAATATTATATATCAAACAACAATATTTGTAGAAAATGTCCAACTGGGTGCAAATCTTGTTCATTGGTTGGTGGAATGGTCCAATGCACAGCTTGTTTGCCAACATATGGATTGAGAGAAGGATTATGTGACAAATGTAATTCGGATAAATGTCAAATCTGTGAAATTCCTCCAGGAGAGACTTCAATGGTTTGTACATTATGCTTACAGCAATATTATTTAAATAATGATGAATGTGGAAAATGTCCAACTCACTGCAAGGAATGCAATCACAATGGAAATTATCAATGTAAAACATGCATGAAAAGATATGGTAGGTCACCTGATGGAACTTGTCGTCTGTGTCCATCAAACTGTGAAACATGTGTTATCAATACTAGTCAAATTAGTACATGTACTAAATGTATATCTAATGAATTTTCCCTTCAAATTGATGGAACATGCATGCCTTGTTCATCAGCTGCATTTACCAATTGTGCAACATGCACTAAAGCATTATTCAATAGAAAGACTGTTTGTAAATCATGTGATGCTGGCTTTTCTTTAAGTGATGATGGAGAAAGTTGTGTTTTTTGTTCTATAAGTAAATGTTCTATGTGCATTCATGGTAATATATGTTCTGAATGTAAAACTGGTTTTCATTTAAGTAACTATAATAGAGATTGTGTTAATAAATGATGCAAATTATTTCTGTACTTTGTTGTATAGTAATTGTTTGAATTTCTGGTTCATTTAATGAATTTTTATTGTTCTAGTCAATTTTTTTTAAATATAATAAAATATCTTTTCATACTAGTTTGTCAAAATTCTCAATAAATGAATCAGTTTTCTAAAGAGAATGAAATTGAGTATTATTTGTTGAAAAAGAACTAGAAAACTACCCTAAAAAGGATGCTGGACAAAACATTCCCTATTTACCCTAACCCATCAGTGGGTAAAGTAATTTCTGCTTTTTTGTCCCTAACCTTCAGTTTGGCCTTGCAATAGACTGAAATCAATGAAATTGAATTTTCTCAACCCTAAAAAAGCTCCAGACCTAGCCCTAAAATTTACCTTCAGGGGACGTTTTGTCTCAACCCCATCTAAAAAGGTTTTGTTAACTTATCCTAAATGGTTAAAATGGCTGGTAATTTATGAATGAAAGTAGCTGCTACTATGTCTTGGAATTATATTCACAGTTTTGTAGTTTTACCCAGCCATAGATTCTGATTTCAGTGCATCATTGTTCCTAGCCCATTTCTTTCATTCTATAAAAGTGTTAAACTTGAATGGTTTAAAATTCAAAAATGATTCTGATTTCAGTCAATTCACTAACACAGTTAAGCTGCTGTCTCTCTTAAACAATATTAGCCTGATAGATGTACAAAACATAACAATTACAAATATACCACCTTGGAATATATAAATTGTGATTCTTGTAATTTTACACCAGATGAAGCACAGATATTGGGACAATTCTTGATTAAAGGATTAGAATATTCTTCTGAGACATTGAGAATGATCTATTTTCTAAAATGTCTGCTTGAAATGCAATTACAGAGAGAAGACATATTTTTAAACTGAGCTTAAAATACAAAAATAGAAATTGTGTTGGATAATTTGGCCTACTTATATGAATAATATTCTTATTTCTTGTTTGAATAACTTAATCATGCAGACACAACTATTTTTCATAAAAGCTAGACAAATGTCTTTATTATAAAAAGAATTCATTCAGAAATATGTTATTAATTCTAATCCATTACCATTTTACAAGATTAGGCCATCTAGATAACAATCAACCATTTTATCTGATAACTCAGTAAACCTTAATTCTTTTTCTTCCAGTTTACTTCACTATTGCAATATTTAAAATTGTAAAAATCCTCTTTTAAACAATAACTTTCCAAAGCACTCAACCAATTCTTCTACTCTTTTTAATGTTTTTGTTAGGTCTTGAATCTCATTCATCAACATGATTCCTTTTGACCAGTTCCAATTTCTGCCATTCAATACTTAAAATGAATGTTACAGAAACTGTTACACATTATGAAAGGGTGCAGACCACATACACATTACTTTTCAGCATTGTTGTACACATACATTCATCTGTTATATTCCACAATAGATAAGTTGTATAGAACCAATATTGTACCGAGCAGATAGCACTGATAGAGATAAGCATAATTTTAAGAATTTTGTTCTCACCCCAATTGTGGTCTTCTTTACTGCTCATTCAGTAATAGGCCAAAATACTGGTCCAAATAAAGGTATTGAATAAGATGAAACAACTGTGACATGCATCTTTTCCATATTCTTTGTTCCTTTGTCAATTCCCACGTAGCCACCATCTGTTATGGTCAAAGAGTCTATTTCCTACAAAATAGAGTTCTTTCTAAAGTTTCAGCATTATAATTCCTATGAAATATAAGTCTTTCTAATGTACTTTTATATCTAATGTCTAAATATTGATATATCATTATATCTAAGTGCACAGATATTAATACCATCATAGAAGGAGATCCTTTTCATGGTACAGTTCAGACTGGAAAGATATCTCCTTTGAGAGATATTGTTCAACATTTGATTACAAATGAAATTATGGTAAAATCTAAAGAAGCTTTTAAAAAGAACAAAGTAAAACTGGAAGAAAGGTAAACATCATCACTCAACAAAAATTTACAGCACAAGAAGGATCACAAAAACAAAATTCCTCCTCAACAAACTGCAAAACAAAAAAAAAAGTTCTATCTAAGTTACCTTCTATAGACTGCATTAAAAGGAAACCTTGAAAAAAAAGCTGCAACAAAACAAAAGTAAGCTATATGTTTCTGTGTTTGATCTGTTTCAAAGAGAGATACAATAGTGTTTAAATTCAAGTATCTTTTAGTTTCTTTGTCAATTACTAACTAACAACATTCCAGATTATTTCTTTCCACAAAGGCATTTAATCATTGTCACAATGAGAATTAGACAAATATAATTCTACTTTCTTTAGTCTATGTAATTCAAACAATAGCTAACACTAATCCTAAAAAGGTTTGGAAAGGTTTTTTTTGACTAAATCAAAAAAGAGTAACAGAATTTTCACATTTCAAGAGTCCCAGTCAATTTTGGGAAGCAGTCAAATTGTGCAAGTGTAACTAGATATAAAGTAAGGAGGTGATATGTTGAAGAAGTTGGATATATTTTAATACAATTGATTTAATAATTTAAAGGGAGATAACTGTTACCCAAATTGTGAAATTCCTCATTCTTTTTAATATTTTGATGTTTAATTGATGTTTGTTATTAGAATGGAAGAAATATATTTGCAATTATATCTGGTAAAAAGGGTTAGGTCTTAAGTGTTAGGGATTAGTACAGATTGGTAACCCCCTAATTGCTTAGGGTTAGGTTGGGCTTGATGTTTGGTTTAGGCCACTCACAGCACTGTTATTAATGATTTAAGCTCCACTTAGGTGTTCCTGTGCTTGTATTGGTTAAGTGCTGGTTCCTGACGAACACTGGACTGGGTACTGCTTAGTCCCCTTGTTGGTTTGACTGTCTCAATGTACAAGTCCATTTCTGTGTTAGGTAGGGGCTCACTCCGGTCAGGTATACTAAGTTCACTAATGTCAATTAGAATATATGCATAACAAGTATTTTTTTCCTTTGAAAGAATTTTTTATTTAAAGTCACAAATAAAAACAATATTTTCCCTTTAGCCAAGGCTTCATCATGTTTAAATGCTAATTCGAACATTTCTACCATTCATATACCCTTCACCACAGGAACATAAAAAAGAAAAAAGAAAAACCCTAATGTACAACTTTGGTTATATTTTACATGCTTGAACTCTATTATTTTATGCAACTTATACATGTACATCTTAAAACCTATGCAAGAAAATGCTATAACATTGGCCAAACATAAGTCTGATTTGTCAGCTTGAAGGCTTATCTTTAATTACCAATAAAGGTTTGGCCAAGTTATAATTTAATTAACTTGCCTATGGTCTGGCCAAGTTATAATTCAATTAACCTTCCTAAATGTTCAACCTTGTAACATCCTGTTACTAAAGATAAATATGAACTACACATTTCAGCAACTATAAAGTGATGATTGGATGTCAGAGGCAAACCTCAGAGTATATAAATCGTCACTATTCTCATTCTACACACAGCTTCCATCTGGACCCAAGGACCTGGGAAGATCACCTGAAATAACCTCCACTGGAACCATCCATCTACTCTTCAACATTGGAAGACAGTTTGGTAATTTGGCAACCAGCTATTACAAATAATCTACTCTGCTATTGAACTCTCATATTGTTACTTGCTTAAGTATTATTATTGTGAATAAACTGTTTTGATTTTAAACATTTGTTTAAAAGGTTCGAGTAGAACCAGTATTGTTAAAACTTGCAAATGCATAGATTTTGGCAGCTAGAGCAGTACAAATTTGGCACAGTTGACAGGATAATATTTTGGTTTATTCAAAAGTTTAGAGAAAGTAAATATGGCAGAAGGAGGAAATGGAAATGCCAATGGGGCAGTTACAGACTCTAATCCTTCAACCCCTACAACCCCAACAATTATAATTCAACCAGCAGAAATGTCAAAAAGGCAACAAAGACTAATTGAAGACTATGATAGATTGGTGAGTGAAATGAAAAGAATTCAGATGAGACAGAAAACGTCCATGACAGAAAATGTCCATGAACTGACAGAAAACATCCATAAACTGACAGAAAATGTACATGAATAAAAAAATTAATTTAAATAAAAATTAAATAGACAGATATTAATAATAAAAAAATTGTAAGAAATAAATATTTTTTTGACAGAAACTGGTATTTGTTAGGAAATCTCCAGGAAAACAGTTATGAACTGTCAACTTCCTTTTCTATTTTCACTCACTTGAGGTAATGTGAATTTTTAATTTTTCAAGTTTGTATTGTTCTTTTTAATTGTTGTGATAACAAAACTGACTGATTAATTAATTAATAATTTCCCATAACATAAATATAACAATATTGAACATTTTGTGAATATTTTTGAATGTTTTTCTCAAAATACCATATTCCACATGGATAATCAATGACTTGTTTGTAATAATTTTGCAGTTCCTTTTTCTCAGTATTTTATAAACAATAATTAGTGATGGAAAATTGCTCTCTTTGCAATCAAAAATTTGTTGGTAAGCAAATTAAAGGAAAACGCTCTTGGTGCTCCCACCTTTGTCATATAAAATGTTTGAAAGGTTTGTATTATGTTTTTTGAAACCTATATATTATTTATCTTTTTCAAGATTCAGCAACAGTCACCACTCTGCTTAAGTTGTTTTAAAATATCAAAAGGAACTTGTTTGGTGATGATAAAGAGAGTTGATGAGCCAGAAAAACATGTGGAAAGTGCAGTAAGTGAAGTAAAAAACATCAATTTTATGGTAAAACTGAAAGAGGAAGAAGAAAGAATTCTGGAAAAGAATATTGAGGAGAAAAGAGAGAATAATCAAGAACAACAAAGTACTACTGAAGAGTTCACAGATGAGTTGAGATTATCCTTATCATGGAGTACCAATGACAGTCATGATGACAATCCAAAGGCAATGAAAAATGAAGAAATTGGTAATTTGGAAAATATCATAAATGGAAGTGATTTTGAATTTAATAATGAAATTGAAGTTGATCATGTTCAAACAAATCAAAATTCAAA